TTTTACTGAAGTACATTTTTGTGTATTTATTTGTACTTAAGGAAAATGTTTGAGTACTTTCTCCACCACATGTGAGCAGATGCATAGTCATTCTGAAGCATGTCACCTCTTCCTTCTTATTATTGGTAAAATTGGTTTCAATTTGTGTGCAGGGTCCTCTTTCAATTAAAACCAATTGTTGTGCATGTTTCTACAAAATCAAATGGAATCAGAACATTTACACAGAGTGGTATTTACTTCCTGCCCTCTCTCTCCCTCCAAGTCTTGTTCCTCTTTCCTGCGAATGTTGTGGCATTGTCATGTGTAGAGGCTTAGGGCGATTACAAAATAATTTGAAAATAGAATAAGTATGCAGGGCCTAAGTTGAGGTTTGCTCCGTCTGTCAACGTATGACAGCTGCAGAGCAATTTTCATTGTGGTGCGAGTGGTTTTGTGGTAGAAGTGCACTCTCATTTATCTAAAATACATCCTAAGCTGTGGCTAACGCTTCATTATTCGAGCAGGCCACATGGGTTGCGTTGTGCATTTGCTCCTAAATGAAAAATCTTCAGTGAAATTTGCTTGACTTTAGTGCATATGTTTTGAGGAAAGCGAGGGGCTTTTGTGGTGGTGTCACAGAAAGAGAGAAAGAGAGAGAGAGAGAGAGAGAGAGACTGTGTCTGGGAAAGAGGGAAACATACGGGAGAGAAACTTCGGAGAGGCAGAGAGAAAGAGTGCTCTGTTATCCAAAATATTCACAAGTGTTTTCTAAGCATTGCTCCACACTTTCAATGTCAAACCACTGTTATTGAAAACCGACCGTGCTGGAAACTGGGAAACAAGCAAACACATGCTTTCCAGTAGTTCTGGTTTTATCTGTAAAGCACCGCACTGATCAGGATCTAGTCTGCATAGTTTTTAAAAATGCCTTCATGTTGAACAAAAAGGTAAAACAGTCATACAAATACCCAAACTTTACAAGGCCATGGACTCCAGGAAATATTTTAGTCCTTTTAATGCTTTTTTATTTTTATTCTTAAAGTTACAGCCAAATTTATGCAGGGAAATCAAACTTCCTCTCATTCTTTATGGCCAACCAAGTAAGTAACAAAGTAAATATTTGGCTCACATCATTAGGAACAATTTATATGGTGATAATTACAGTCATGATGATGATAATAATGATGTGCAGCGTCAGTGCTGTGAACTGTATGCACAAGCAGACATGTTGGCATGCAAATTTGTGTACAGATTAAAACTGGAAGATATGGCCAAAAATTATACCTACATAAAAACTTTCATATTAGTCAATGTATTGATAATTATAAAAGTAAATTTCACATCATTATTTATTTTAAGTTTAAAGAGTTTTGCTCCAGAGAGAACAGCACAACATCTAACAGGAGGAACCGGGGGAACTCTGCAGGTGAGCTGCTTCTCCCTCTGTGTTCCAAAGTGCAGCCGAGTTAACTCATGGTCCTAGTTGAAGGGGATGTGCTGGTGAGACAGTCAGTCTTAATCTGTATTTGACTTAATCTTACTGATGTCAATTTATTGATATTGTTGCTTTAGTTATGAAAATAACAACACAAATTAATAATGCAGTAACTTATTTCAAGCTGTAAAGGGAACAAGAGTTTAAAAAGCCTTTACATAGCTTGAGACCACTCATTTCCCTTTAACAGTACAAATATATACTGGCCTGATGACTGATGAACTGCTGAACACACACAGACAGACACATATATTCATAAACTTCTAAAATGTGGCTTTTTTGTGTAATAATGTTTTATCACTCAAGCCCTTTATTTTATATTTACCAGTGTCAAGTTACTCTGTGCAATAATCCAACCACTATGAAAGAAATGGTGTGCAATTTAAACAATTTTATTTTTAGTTTGTCTTACATTGCTTTTCCTTGTTGTTTTTAACATGCTATAAAATAAATGTGATTTGAATTAAACTAACGTAAATAAATTGTTTGTGTATTTACATTAACCAAGTAAAGCTCTTGCGCTGCACTATTTGAAACATTTTACATTTTATTTAACTTGATAGATTTGTGTTTGTGTGTGTCTGTGAGTGTCAGTGCTGTCTGAGCAGTGAATGTGGGTTCTTTACTGTGTGTAGGTCAGTGCACGTGTACACTAATGCAACCACAGTAAGTTAATCTGCAATGCTAAGAAAACACAAGCAAATAGAATAAAAAAAACATGCAAATTAAGAAAACAACCACACATGCCCTACTAAAACTGCTGGGGGGTTCATTTGCTCGTGTGTTTTTCTACTTGCATGTGTTTTCTTAATTTGCAGTGCATTGCGCGCTCTCGGCCACCGTAGAAATGATCCTGCTCTTACTGCTGTGCTTTCGTGCGCAGTTTACGCAACCTCCACATGCTCGAACATCTCTGACGTAGCAGGCGTAAGGTAGGACAGAGCCATTCATTCACTCACAACAGCAACACTCAGACAGCAGCGCCAACATGTCGGAGAAGAAGCAGACCGTGGACCTGGGTTTACTGGAGGAGGACGATGAGTTTGAAGAGTTCCCAGCAGAGGGTAAATTATACACATGTTGTTGTTGTTGTCTTGTTTACGTCCTGTGAGCGAACTGGGGCAGTTTTCAGTGCTGGGCCCTGCAGCAGTGACTCAGCTAGCTGTGGCCGAGCTAGCATTAGCATTAGCTAGCGAACTTATCGGTGCTTTAACCACCTGAGCGTATTGATAGCACGAGGCTCCACTCACTCAAAGTGTCAGTACTTGTATTTGAATCGTGAACAGTTCGTCCTCTCGTCCTGCGTATGTTCGTCCGCTTCTTTAGCTAACGGCTGCTAGCTATCTAGCATAGTGGTAACATAGCTAACAGTCTGAAGCGTTAGCAGCTCAGGTAAACAAATTAAGAAGGCTTCCTCTGTGTTGTTTGAGACTGATGTGCCGTGTTTGAGAATGAAAATACTGCTGGTTACACAGAGGATGTGTGTGTGTCGTTGTATAACGTTGTTTCTTCTACGTGTGCTAAAGATTGGACGGGGCTGGATGAAGATGAAGATGCTCACGTTTGGGAAGACAACTGGGACGATGACAACGTAGAAGATGATTTCTCAAATCAGCTGAGGTAAGAAAACCAACTATTCGACGAACCACGTTCGGTGTGGTGTGTCTCAATCACACTTGTTTTGAACGAGTGTCAACATGAGCGAGGAATAACAGACTAGTGTGTTTATACTGTTTATACTGATCATGAGCTGTTGTGCTCAAGCCTCCATTTCACAACTGTATTCCTTTGACCAACACTCGGAGATAGCTTGATACTATTTGTTATTATCTTGCAGTTGAAGGAATATTCACAAGTTTATACTTTTTGATCATTTTTATTGTGAGGTTTGATTTTTGTATAAATAATGTTTTCAGGAGCAGTCAGAGGCCTTCAAACTGGTGAATGTAGTGAATATATCACATATATTGTAAATCTGTGCACATATACTTGCTTAATAGAAATAGAAAATGTTTGGAGAATAATGCAATTATCCTTGTATCTTGAGTAAGAGAAGTTGGTTTAAGCAATTTGGCTTCCTAATTTTATGCACATTTTTATTAAATGTTTATAGGAAATTTCACTTAATCAGAAGAATGGACAACCACAACATGCTTACGCTCAGAATGCACAATTATAATCTTTTATGATTAATGAAATCTATTCCTGAAACATTCATGATGCTGATGGGACAACGTGGAGGAAATAACTGACTAGAACCTAATTTAGCAGCTCTAACATCTAACAAGCACTTTTATGTTGTGTGTCAGAAGTACACAATGTTCAGGACAACGTTTCTCCCTTCAGTACAGTTCAATCATATTTTTAAGACGTCTGAAGTGAACAGCTCCCTGAGCTCATTCCACAGCGTCTCTACTGGGTAAAGGTCTGTTCTCTGACTGGGCCAATAGAATTAAACTTGATGTAGATTTAATGAAAGGTTAAGATCTCCGTACACAGCGGTGCTTCTCCTGGGTCAGCTGGTGCAGGCTCAGTCACAGGAAGAAAATAAAATAATGAATTGTAACGCAAACCAGAATGCAAGATTGTTACTACTTATTCAATAAATATTAGTATTGATAATCACTAAATGAAAGAAGGGGCCAACAACGTTTAGAACATCAACTGACTTTCTGTATCATTCCAATATAAACTTGAGAATTACTAGAATTACTTTCCTCTTGATGACGTTGAGCTTTTCAGGCCCAAAGGCAGAAATGCAGCCTCAAATCATGACTCTTCCTCTGCTCTACTTCACTGTCATGATGCTTTTTCCTCGGTAACAAAGTGCACCTTTTTACCCAATATGTAGAGCTGCTCTTCTCATGGAAAATTCAGCTTTTGTATCGTCAGTCAGAAAACACTGTTCCTGGAGTGTTGAGGTTTCTTCAGCAAACTTCAGGCCTCACTAAAGTTTGTTAAGGAGAGCAGCAGCTTCCATCATGCAACCATGCAGTGTTATTTACAAATGGTTGTGTCATGGATGTTGACCTGTTCGGGTGAATTTTAAGCTTTTAGGTTGTTTTTAACTTTACTGAACATTGATTGAACTTTATTAATTCATGACTTTGATTAGTTTGTCATAAATTGAGGGGTTCGAATACATTTTTCAATATACACTAATACTTGAATAATATATTCATTAATCACAAGGACAATTCAATGATCTTTGTGTTACTGGTTAAAATAAATTGTTTCTAACTGTAATGAAGACGAGATCCTGTCTTTAAGATATATACAGAGGAAATTACGAATGTCCTCCTTTACTTGCCTTTATATATCAAAGTTTCATATTGGATCTGTTCTGCTTTAAAGCTTTAACTCTCACTCTTATTGAATAATCAATAACTTGATAGAAAAGTGGCTGGTCTGTTTTTATTTGAGTACTCTCCAGACAGTAATATGCTATTGTTTTATTTTGGTCAATTATGACAGATATGCCATTAAGTTATTTCTTAAAGATATCATTATTGTTAAAGGGCACACAGCTCCCATATACATGTAATCATCAAATCCATAGCTGCACAGATTATGCAATATTTATATATTTTTTTCACTCCCATCTCTTAATGGTTCTTACAATCAATAGAGGGTACTTATGCTTCAGCCACCCACCTGTAATCATCTCTACTGACTTGATTTTTCTATTTTCTTTTTCCTCCCTGCAGAGCCGAGCTGGAAAAACATGGTTACAAAATGGAGACATCATAGCGGCTGACGTGGCCTCTCTGTATACGATGACAATGGATATGGACATTTCTATTTGAATATAACCGGTAGACCCCACGTCACCGGAAGATATTCGACTACGTGAATTTGTTTCTTTTTTGTAAGAAATATGGATAAAAATAAACAGTTTGGAGATACAAGTTCATTTGAGTGTTTAACTGACAAACAAACGATGTTTATGAAATTCATTTTTCATGATATTGCTCAAGTTTAAGAGCTTCTGTTTTGATCATATTGCAGCAACCATATATTCATGTATGCCTCCGTTTATTGAATCTGTCAATGTTATATATCCATGCGAGAAGAAGACAAAGTATGCACAAGCTCTTATGTTAGACGTGCACGGTGGAAGTACTTGTGATGCATGCAACACACAAGGCAGCTCCTTTGCCCTGTGCTGTATGACATCCCCCTTTCCTCTCAGCCCCACGGTGCTGGGCTGAGTCCCTGAAGGAGAGATTATCCACTGCCGTGTTTGTCAGAGGCAGGGAGGGGGTCTCAGCATGCGGTCTCCCAGCCTGCCTTGCCTGGGCCTGCCCCTACTGCCAGCTAGGCCCTTCTCTTCCGCTTGGCACAGTGGGGACTCTCGTACTGAACCAGAGGCCAATTTATCCCCTCCACACTCCCCTGGCAAAATGATTTCTCTCAGTGTTTTGTCGACTCTCAGTCCCAGGGTCCTAATGAGGTGAAATGGATGCCAGTAAGGCCAATGCTACGAAAGCAGTTTCCAGACTGAAAACAACAAATATCTTCCTCCTGTAGAAGAGAGTAACTTAAATACTTTATGTACAGTAATCAAGCACAATATTTATACATAAGTTTTTCCATTTTTGTGCAACTTACATCAATTTGACACATTTATATATAAATGTGTTAAATTCATCCAATTTGTGAAGTATATGCAAAATACATTAAAGCCTAAATGTCAGCTTCACATAAATGTTTATACACTGTTAAAGTTATGCATCTTATGAAGAAGCAAGAGGAGACATTTAACGTGCTTTCCAAATTCAAATAAGGGGTCTTTATTATCTATCCATAAATTATGAGACAAAAATAAAATGTCTATATATTTACTAGTTTCCTTAACCTAATAATTTTTACTGAGTTGTCTTTCCTTTCACACTACTTCCTGCATGTTAAGGGTGGAACACCCCAAGCCAGATCTGAACAGTTTCTTTTAACATTACAAATATTTTAATTTATGATACAACAAAAAGATTGATTCATATGAATCATTATTTGAATGATGCGTTCTAACATTATACAGTAGAATGTAATACAATATGGCTTTTATGTAAGTATTGCTTCTTATGAGGCTGATAATTTCTGTTAGAATATGGCTCCATCCCTCCCTTGTGCCTGTGTGTGGCCTTTCATTCCAGGTTCCTGTGTTCTCCCCTTGTGGTGCTTGTTCACTGTTTGCTGTTTTGCACGTTAGTATTTGGAAAGAGCTGTTCTGCACTTCAAAGTGTTGTGCTCAGATTTTGGCATTAAAGGCTGGAAAAGTAAGGAGTGGAAATCTGTTTGCCCAGGTCTTGCATTTAACTGTTGGCAACTGAAAGCATGCTGACAAGCATCTGACAGTCTCTCGATCTCTTCTGGGAAAACACAGAATCCCTGTTTACCACTGGTTATTATCCCAATCAGCTGCATATTACAGCCCAACAGCTCTCCTGAGTGCACAGTCTCGATTGCGTTTGAGAGACGATGCTCTGGGTTCCCACTTATATATGTGTCAATAAAGAAAATAAACATTTCTCCAGCGCTGCAGGAAATAAGTGATCTGATCTGACTCATCCATATGGGACACTAAGGCCTATTTATGTCCCTAGAACCTAGGGCCCTGGGCCAGATGATTATTCTGAGGGTTGCAAAGTCAGTGAAGTGAGAGAATCGGTAAGTGAGAGCAACAGAGGAGGACCTGTGACCATTTTGTTTGTGCTGAAAGCGTAAGATTGGTCCCTTGTGTTTGACGCCGCAAGGGCCTCGATGGGCCCTCAGTATTGAGCCTCACACGATCGCCATCCTTTTCAGTGTCTCCCCTTGTTCTTTGAACCCATGTAGTAATGACTTCAATTTGGCCAGGCATTTTTGTTGTTGCTTTGTGACCCACATGATTCAGCTCGCCATGTATTGACCACCTCAATTGAGGGAGAACTGAATAAAAATTTGCGTGTATATTTTGAAATCTTATGTGTGGTAACAGTGGATTATTCCTTATTAAATGGCAGTTCAGTGTCCTTTTGTCAGCGAAAGGAAGTTTGATCTTCAGACAGAAATCCAAGACACACGTCACACTTTCACCAGATTATTGTCTTTGTCAGTCATGGGAACAACAGAATCCGGCAACTTCTGTCCTTCTGAAAGCCTGAATTCCTTGAAAAGCATTTTCTTATTTGCAAATCGTTCTCCTTCGGCCCACGCAGCTCAAAGACCACATGACTCGGTGCGGCAGAGCAGTCAATGGAACTGCGGCGAGCACCATTTCATAATACTTCATGTTGGGAGATGGCAGATCCATTGTTCTCAAGGCCCACGAGCCTGTGGGCGAGAGTCCCTGCTGTGTCTTCACTGAAGAAACACACCAGCCTCCCAGGCAGCATATTCCGTTTTATTCTGCACACACTGGAGGCTACTGTGACCGTTCCAGCTCTCTCCCCGCTGCTGCAGGCCCTGCTCTCTCTGCATCTCCCCTCTCCATTCCGTTCACCGCTGAGCCGGGGTGAAGATGAAGCTGTCACTGCACAGCTAGGAAGCATGCAGCTGCTACTATAATAGCCCTAATTGCACGTTCCTTTTGTTGGGCTGAAATTAGCAGAGGGGCTACAATACTTCTACCAAAGCCCCCCAAAAACCTCCAAGTAAAGATGGAGGGGAGAGAGTTAAAAAAAAAAAAAAAAGACACTCAGGGGTGCGTTCACCAGTGAGACTGCCAACCCCACCGCCGAATGGCCCACACCTGCACACTAGCACCCCCGCTAAAGTAAACACAGATAATAAGGTATAATTACTTTAGAAAATAATAACGAGGAGCACCCCTCCAGACCCCCCTGCTCCCGGTGACAAAGGGCTGCCTGTTTATTGTGGTAGGTGAAACAGCCCCAAAGGACGCTGTCGAGTGCCCTCTCAAAAGACCTGAGATCCCCTTATAGGACAGCCGTCAGTGTCAAGGAGGACTGGGGCTTTTAAGTCTGTTCTCCCCTAACTGCCTCAATTAACCAGTGTGGATTGACCACAGGCTAGTTTTTCAGCCCCATTCATCCTCATCAAAATGATCCTGTGTTGTCTTCAATGGGTTCCCCCCTTTTTCTATGGGATCAGAAGAAACCTAAAAATTAAACCAATCATGTATTGTTCACAGTGAAATCCCATTCTGAACCTCTATATAAAGTATATGTGGTGATGTGCAAAATTGAATCACGCTGATATTACACCTATACATTTAAATGTAAGGAATAATGCATTGAACGGTTTGTTTCCTTCCTTATCAGGTTGCATGAAAATATTGTGATGAGTCAGAAGATCAGAGGTCATTCAGTATTCAGTCATTCTGGGCTACTGCCACCTGACGGTTCGCTTAATTTAGCTTAGCCTAGCATACACACTGCGCTATAGAGTGTATATAAAAATGGCCAACACATTTTTCTACTTCCTACCACTATCTAGAAATGAAACCAAAATGTCCTGGATACAAATTGTGTTGTATCAATCTTCAATCTTTCCATCAGTTGGCTAATAAGCATGATAACCAAGATGTTAAGCTGTTTCTGTACCTTTACTTGTGTGATTGAGGCTGTGTTTATGATTTGTCAATGTAGATTCTTCACACATCAATCCAATCTCCAAAATCCAGAAAAAAGCATAAACTGACAGTACTCTCACTTTGATCTGTAGAAACCCAAACACTCCTCCACACTGAGCATCAAGCTCCATACTTGGACCCAAAATTTCATACTTGTGGTTGAAGGGTAACATAAATACATGAAATGGAAAAGGTTTTACTCCACCTAGTTACACAACTCACAGATACAATATTCATACTATATTTCATGCTTTGCACTGAAATTTCTGTGTTTTTCTGGCGTCATCAAATCTCATCTGAAAATGAGGAGAAACTCATCTGAGCATGTGAACATGACACTGGATAGTTCAGACGGTATGGGATCACGCAGCGGCCTCACTGTCACTTAAACCTGCCTGGAATTTAAACCGATCTGACATGTTGGCACACAGAAAGAAACAGATGGGTATGTTTCAGTTTAACGCTATCCCTGGTGCTTAAGTCACTATGAAAACACGATTCTAGTTTGATGTCAGGACGGATTATGAGTGCCCCGTTTCAGCTGGGCTGTTTATGACACGATCCATCCTGCAGGTCTTGGACATATAAATGTATGATTTCACAAAAGCACAAAAAAATGCACAGAAAATAAGGTGCATAGTAGTTTAGACCAGAAGACCACAAGTCTGGTCTGCTGTATAGGTCACGCATCCTGCCTCCTCGATTTTAGCCAATGGGATATGGACCAAACACTGATGTATGTTCATTTTTGTTTGGTTTGATTTTAATTAGTTATCAGGTCTGATGAAAACCGGTGAAACATCATGATTGACTTGACTGACCTGTCGTTACTACGGCAACCATCCCTGATTGCTACAGCGTATACTCTGGCTCCAAAAACATTTTTCCAAATAGTTTAAATGGACACGATGGAAAGGTGTGTGTGTGTGGGGGGGGACACAACTCTCCCTGAGTAAATGTTTGCATCTTTTTAACACAGTCTTTGTGGAGTCCAGTACTTTTACCAACACAATGGGGGGGCTGCTGTGATTAAGGGTCTAATGTAAAGTGAATCAGTGCTGCATGTGAGTCATCTCCATGCTATCATTAAACCACAATGTGCAACCGAGCCGAACGGCCCTGCGAGGATGGCACCGTGTTTTTAACTGTGACGTCTGCGGCAACAACACCCCCTGCTGCGTTTCCTTCCCGTATGCCCAAGATACCTGGCAATTAGGGAGTTTGTTGTCTATTCTCACTCCTGGATTTTTACCCCCTCATCCACTCCCAAGCCTCTGATATTTGAACACACTGGATCAACCACCCACCTGTCCTGCTGCACTTAAAAGCATTGGACAGCG